GATACTTAATCAAAAATTCGTTAAAGTTTAAAAATTTGAATTAGAGGATAAAAGAAATTCGAAACTCAAGATTCAGGCTTCCAGGTTCCCGTATTCGGGTGGAGGACTACGTTATTCAAAATTTGATGGCTCTAGGTATCGTTGTTTTTTCACAATGCGAAAACATGCATACATTCATGCAGACTCTTCATTATTTAATTTCTTTAAATATAATTCAGGCCGATAATATTTGGTATCAACAATTTGAAAAGTGATGCAATCATTTACAGTGGTTCGCCGCAAACTGGCGTTTCGAGACTAATAATCTTTCTGGTATAACACCTTTTTGGGCTAAAAATTGCCGATATATAAGAAAGTTTGACTAAAGGTAAAGTGAAAGATTACCGAAGAGGAAACAAACTTTCCCACACAAACAAAGTTAAATCTCATTGAAATTAGAGTACTCTTTGAGAAAACTGCACTTTGAAATCCTCAGCTAAACATGAATAAACATCTTAAGATCCTCAAACATTGCAAACAGGTGGTTTCGAATAGTCATTTGACCATATAATATGAACTTCATCATATAAAATATCTGAAGAATGAATTCATTGCCGTTCTAATGTAAAATACTCTGTTCGTGAAAATTTACGACAATACGTTTGAAATCCCTTTTAAACATTAGATCAAAATGAAAAATTCTCTTGTTCAATACAGAAAAAATATTAAGATAAAAGTAGAATTAGTAATATGCCGCATCGAACCATATTCTTATACAAGTGTTGATTTAAAATGAAATGATTAATATATGTATTTATATGATATCCTAATAACGTTAAAAATTTCATTAAGACAAAAGTTGAAGATCATCGAATTTTATAAATAATCTATCAAGACAGCGGAAACCTTACTAAGCTAAAAATTTAACAATAGTATGTTCGTTGACTTGCCCACCAATATTTTGTGTTAAAACAGCTCAACACTGAAATTTCAATCCGGGTTCAAATACCCAAGAGAGCCTGCTAGCGGTCAAGCGGCAAAATCACTGAACACTGGTAGTTCTGACCTGGGTTTGATTCCAGGCCAACGGGTTGGCTGCATGGGCGTTTTCGTGATTTTCCCCATGTGCAACGTGTATAAGAGACAATTTCTTTTAGAAAAGCATCTCCCTTTAAGCCCACGAAGGCATCTCCCTTTAAGGCAGATACCCCTCGAGTGTTATGCCATAATCAAATAAACCAAACCAAACCAAATACCCATGAACTGGATAGCCTTAGAAAGTGCTCCACGAAGACATCCTTTTCCTTAGGCATATAGGCCCTTACTTAGTCATAATCTAAATAAAGCAATATATTCATTGACTGGTTTAACTGGATAAGGCAAAAACACACTACCTGCTATCTGCTTAAAGGGTGGATGACTTTTGGGTGACTTTCTACAGGAAGCTCGCATTTACGTTACACATGCGGAAAAACACAAAGACCAAGCATGCAGCCATCTAGTTCGCCTGGAATCGATCTCGATATTCAGCGGTCTTCAACTCAGCTACTACTGAGACCCAATCATTGACTAAAACTAAAGCTGAAATCCTCAGATGATGTAACTCTAGAAAACTGAACTGCAGTATCTCAGTTAACAAACTTTTTACTAGTTACCAAAACATTACTTTGTGGATGGTTTTATTACAACTGAGCTGTATCTAGTCATAGCCCACAAGCTGTGAAACTGTGTGTTCAATATAATGCTTAGCAAAAAATACACAATACACAATACACAATATTTCTAGCATGCTGCTTTCTTAACCATACAATACTGAAATTTTCTGGAGAACTTTTCGCCTACGTTCTAGACTTCGCTATGCTTTTTAAATCATTTACCAAATATGATATTAATTAATAAGGCCTCATCGTCTGTCAGCTTGCAAAAGACACTAAACTAAAAAGCAGATAAAATCAGAAGCAACTTCAACAAAAACAAGCAAGATTTTATTTAAGGCTTCTCCAGGTACAGAAGTATTAGGCTTTCATTCTGTCTTAAATCAATACATAAGCGTCAGCTGTCATCTAACACTGAACTACTATAACACGGTTTGGCTCTAATACAGTTTAAGAATTGAGAAAAATCTTCCAGTAACATGCCATTCTTACAGAGCTTTTCGCTGTAAAATACAATTCCGCCCAAGAAACCTACAAGCATCAATAGCAGAACTGCTGATACTTCTATGACACAACATATTAAAATATGGCATTTAATTGTAATATAAATTATGGGCACAAAAATTCAAAAAGACGAGAAATTAAAGAAGAAGTAATTAATTGCATCCCACTTAACCGTTGAAAGCATATTATTTAAATTATGATCTTTCCTCTGAAATGAAGCACATTATTTAAGACAGAACTTCACTGAGAAAAGAACTAAGAACTTCACTAAGAAACAGTAACGATAACATAAGACTATAGAACTTATATAAAACTTTAAGAAATGTTCTCTTTTAAGACTTTTAATTTCAAAATTTCCTTTAGTCTATAATGAAACAAATTTTGTTAAAAGGCCAATTTTCCACTCAATGTCGTTAGATTATTAAATATAATTTGATTTGGAATGTAGTCAGTTCATTTACCAGGTTTTGTAGAAAGGCTCAAAATCATGAATTTTAGCACCTGACAACATAATCAAGCTGTCAGTTTTAGATTATAATGAAATTTAATTTTCCTCCCCTACAATCTCAATCTCTAAAAGTGATTCGTATCACATGAAGTAGTGATATGAAGTGAACAGTCTGCCTGGAGATATTTGATATTGATATATCCAGAAGCATGTGACAGATAACACGCTTTGTTAATATGTTTTTTCCGGAAAATTTAATCATACTTTCGCCTAGAGTCCAGATACGCGAGCGCAAAGATATGTGTTGAAACTTCTTGAGTCTAATGAAAATATTATTTATTTCCCACACTGAAGCATATGCTCCTCTCCCGAGCGTATTTTCCACCCAAATGGTTTCATCATAATATGATTTAGGAAACTTTTGATTTATGTTTATAACGTAAAATGTATACGCAGATAGGAGAGTACATTGTGTATAATTCGAATATTATTGAAACCAATACATATATTTACATCTGATGTTTAATATATTTTGTTATTAATTTTAACCTTTTCCTCAAAAAAAAGTGATTTTTCTTTTTCAATTTCCAAGAAGGAAAATTCGTAAAACAAGGAAACAATTAACAAGGCTCAGTTAAAATTATCAGATAAAATTTAATTAATTATGTTATTAGTTATGTTAATAATTAATTACGTTAATAGCACTAATAAAATTTAATTAATTAATTGTGTTAATAGTATAATAGAGTTGATTTTTAAATTATGTTATTATATTAATTAAAATTAATTATTATTATATATATTGTAAGAATTAATTAATTATGTTAATAATGTTAAATTTAAATTATCATATAGTTTGTGAAGCCCAGCGGCTAAGCTGTAAAGTTGCTGTAGTAGTTCGACACAGGTTCGGATCCAGGCAAACAGACTGGATACATGTGAATTTTCGTGTGATTTTCCCCATATGTAACGCGTATAGCCGTATAGCAGCTAGTTTTTCTTAAAAGTCATTTACAAAGATATCTCTCACGTAGGCAGATAGCTCTGAAGTTGCTTTCCCTTAATCAGTTGACCTAACCTAGGTCTGTCGAAGCAGGCGAAATGAAAAATGCGCTCACCGGGATCCGAACTCCGAAAATACCTCAAACTACTCCAAGAGAGGAGGAAAAAACCTTACATTCTCCCCAACTCAGAGGGCTACTAAGGAACAGCCATGGTGAGAAATGCAGGTTAATAAAATGAAGTGCAGCAAAACATTTCCAAAGTTCCAAGCATGATAAAATCGATGCGCGAACTGCAGACACTTCGAGGCATTTAAAATTAAAAAGGGCTTTTAATGTCATATAAAATTACAGCATTTAAAAAAGCTAAAAATGACATACTAAAAGTTAAAAACGACGTAAAAATGGCTTCTCTGACAAATACTCCATGATCAAAATCGTAAAAACAACCTTGTATTTAACTTAAGTATATTGAAACACTCAATCGATTTCGAGGGCAGCTAAAGGTCCCTCCTCATCAGGAGAAAGAAGAAAATAAAGGGGAAGGAGTCTCAGAAACACGTGGTCCTTATCATCACTGCACGTGGTTATAACTGGATTTTTAATCAGAGTTGCACTGGCCGCCTACTTTTACTGAGCCAGGCTATCTGATCAAGCATAAAGGACAAGAAAAATTAGCGAAGTTAAAAATAGGGAGCGAGGGACAAATGCATCTTCACGCTCAAAATCTGATGCATTTGCCCCTCGCTCCCTATTTTGAACTATTTTTCTTGTCCTTTATGCTTGATCAGATAGCCTGGCTCAGTAAAAGTAGGCGGCCAGTGCAACTCTGAGTAAACATCCAGTTATAACCACGTGCAGTGCTGATAAGGACCACGTGTTTCTGAGACTCCTTCCCCTTTATTTTCTTCTTTCTTGGTATTTCTTTCTCCTGATGAGGAGGGACCTTTAGCTGCCCTCGAAATCGATTGAGTGTTTCAATATACTTACGCTAAATACAAGGTTGTTTTTACGATTTTGATTGTCACATTAGCGTGTTTCTCTTCTATTCTAAATACTCCATGCTTTTTTAATGGCAACCTGATCTTCATATTTAGCTTGATGCTATTAGTTTTATTTCTGTGTTGTGACTTTATAATTTGTTTTATTTATTATAATTATAAGTTTTATTTATCTCGCTCAACTTCTTCTTGGTGTTGAGATTTTGTTTCCTGTCAGTTTAGTTAATCTTACTAAAATTTTTCAATTACAGTTAATGTCTTTTATATAAATTTAACACTTTCTTTTGTCATACTTAAACTTACCACCGTTGTAGTCATCAAGCTCACAGATTATTTAATTAAACTTCATTATTTTTTATTTATAGAAACAGAAAATAATTTCTAAAATTAAATAAACATTCAAACGCTTTACCCTGTTCATCACATCCCTTTTTAACGAACCAGAGTTGTCGGACATCATATTCGGGAAGTATTCGAGAAGTAAGAAAATCTTTTTCGTCGTCGTCAACTAGTGTTCCTAATTTACCAAGTTCTTGATCTGTATCCTGTTTGGCACATGTGTCTCTTGCTTCAGAGTATGTTGTAACTGGAGTAATATATAGAAAGCAATGGTATTCGTTTCCACCAGTCCAGCCTTCCGGGCATGGTGGATCTGGAAACAAATAGAAGAACACTATATACTCAACAAAACTGAAGGGATGATTAAACAACTTTATTCAAAACATTTGAGTAATATGTATATTATTGAACTGCCAAAAGATAACTCTGAGTAAATGCAAATTAGCACACGACTTCAAAATTGATGTCAATGAGAAAATCGTAAAAAACGGATTTTGTTTTTTAAATGGGGGAAATCTCTGTTTTTATACCCTTGTCGCTCAAGAAGCAGTTTGTTTCATCTGTCTTCATCTCTGTACATCGAATCAACTTAATTTAAAAGAAAGTATCACTCAACGAGCCATAGGTGGGTTGGTTTCTTTTGGTTTGGTCTATTTATTTATGGCAAAGCACGCAATGGCTATCTGCTAAAGAGGAGGGATGCCTTCGGAGAGAACTTAAGAAAACTGGCTCGTATACACGCTACACGTGGGTAAAACAACGAAAACGTCCATGCGGCCAACCCATTCACCTGGAATTAAACCCAGGTTGGAACTACCAATATTCAGCGTCTTAACCGCTCGGCCGCTGTCAGGCGTAAGAGGGTTGGAAGTCGGTCAAAATCATCGTATCGTAGCGTTGGCATTGAAGCGAGCTGAAGTATTATTTCAGGCTTATGGATTTCGCTCCAACAGATAGAAATTTTTGAAGATGTCCTGGTTAAGGGCGTTCAGAAGCTGATACCTCATATGGCCATCGTTACTCGTCAAAATGCCATCCATCTGCAAAGTCAACTTTTAATAATTATCGAAAGAAGAATGTCTTCTTAAATAACTCGCAGACATCTTTACACATGTTGACTGTATGGTATGGCGTCCGCCGAAAACATCGAGGGAAATACGTCTCGGACAGAAACGTCGGGGAGAAAACAACACAAGGCGAAAACGTCATCATACAAAATATCGTGAGAAAGAAGACAGCAAGAAGAAAACATTGCACTTCTAAAACATCATGATGCAAAACATCGCAGTTTTAAAAATTCGTTTTTGAAAATATCGTGGTAAGAAATAAAGCATCCACAAATAATCGCATAACGATAACATTGCAGACGTGCGTTTTAGACTTTAAAAATTCGCGTATTAGCATAATGATTTGTGAGTGCAAGAAAGAATGAAGAATATTTTTACTTTTATATTTCATACTTTTTAATAATAATAAATTTTTGCTTAAGAAAGGAATTTAAGCATTCGAAAACTGAAAATGAGTAGAAAAATAGTGTTAGTTATAGCATTTAAAAGAATTTTAAATTTATATAGTTAACTGATAAAGCTCATTAATTAATTAATCTCTTTTATAACGTTTTTTTTTTTTTTGGCAACTTTTTATAAAAAATTAGTATAAAAAGATTAGAAAAAGGAAGAAGAGTGACTTATGTGATTACTTGCATTAAACTTGTTTAATTCATTATCAAATTAAAAAATTCTGTTAACTGCTATATGTAGCATTAATTTTCTACTCATTTTCAGCTTTTGAGTACTCAAGTTTCCTTCTTAATGTTTCAGTAAAAATGTATTAATTAATTAAAAGATGTAAGAGTACAAGTATTTCTCGTTCCTTCCTGCGCTCTCAAATGATTATGCGAATGTGCATCTACAATTTTTAAAGCCTGAAAATGCATGTCTCCAATATTATTATCATGCAATAATTTTTAGATGCTTTATTTTTTACTCCAGTATTTGCTTTACCTTGCTTTCACTTTGCTTGCATGCAATTTCAGATTGCTCTCATTTATCCCATGGTGTTTTGTACAATGATGTTTTCACCTTGCGTTGTTTTCTCCTCGAAGTTTTCGTCAGGGATGTTTTTGCCTTTCTCATAATCATTCTGAGGCATCTTAACCGATCTATAACGAAATTATTCTTATTCAAAAGTTCTATAACAAAATTACTAAGCTTACTATGTGGTATTTGAAACATCTTATGATTAATCTACTAACCCTTATAGTAGAGAAAATAATTTTGTAATTAGGTATGTTAATAGCTTACTGTTCCCATTTTGTATCTACACTGACTACCAATAAGTATTTGGACATCTATGCAAATGACGATATCTGCGGTCCCAAGGTACGCCACGGACTCCGCCTGTATATATCGTGTAGGAAACAGCATCGGCTTTAGTGGCATGCAAGATGCCTCGCAGTTCGGAGCTCTCTGATTTCGAGAAAGGTATAATTATCGGGTATCACAAATGTGGCCGATCCTTAAGGGACATATCTAGCGATCTGAAGTACCCAATATCGACAGTGGCCTATGTGATTAAGAAGTAGAAGGTGAGGGATGATTGTCGGAATGTGCCCCGAGTCGGCAGACCAACGAAACTGGGGGATAAAGACCGACGAGTGCTGTTCAGAGAAATTCGGAAGAACGGCACCCAACCGATAGCCCTCATCCGCGAGGAGTTTCAACAGGCATCCGGGAGTATTGTTTCAATGAATACCATCCGTAAGGAAGGTCCGTGACACATCTGCTTGGTTTTCATGGTCGTGCTGCTGCCCATAAGCCTTTGATCACAAAGTGCAACCGCGCTGCTCGGTTAATGTGGTGCAAAGCACATCAAAATTGGACCGTAGATCAGTGGAAACGAGTTCTTTGGAGTGACGAATCAAGGTTCACCCTTTACCGTTCGGATGGCAGGGTCTGGGTCTGGCTTCTACCTGGAGAACGTCTCCTGCCAGAATGCATTGTGCCAACAGTCAAGTTCGGCGAAAGTGGAATTATGGTCTGGGGGTGTTTCTCCTGGTATGGGCTGGGACCCTTGGTCCCCATTCATGGCAAGCTCAACTCCGATGCCTACTGCACTATTTTGGATGACAATGTGCTTTCTACGTTGTGGCAGTTTTACGGGTTGGACCCCTGTTACTTTCAGGACGACAATACCAGTTGTCATGTTTCGACGTTAACCAATGCTTAGTATGGTGCCAATTGAGTTCATCGAATGGACTGGTCTGCCCAGAGTCCAGACCTGAACCCTATCGAGAACCACTGGGACGAGTTGCATCGCCGAATTCAGGGGTGCACTACCCGTACAAAATCGGTGAAGGAACTTCTATGTCTTCTCCAAGCAGAGTGGAAAAAAATACCACTAGCTGTCATACAAAGACTTGTGGAAAGTATGCCCCGGAGAGTCCACGCTGTAAATACCTCTCGTGGAGGCTCTACCAACTATTGATTTTGAATTAAGTTAGTTTTCCTTTTCTATCACAGGTGTCCAAATACTTATTGGTAGTCAGTGTATTACGTTAAGCTACCGGGATATTTGGCATTCTAGTAGGATGTACTGCCATTTAAAATTTTTAAAAAATCACTAGTTTATCTTTCAAATTAAAACAGCATGTTAGTTAAGTAATTGAAAGATTTAAGTCTAATTAATGTTAAGCCTAATTAATTCTTAGTTAACTAATCGAAAGATCAAGATTGAAAGTCATGTAGAGTCATTAGGTTTTTTTATGCTAGAGACGTGAAAAACATGCAATGGCCCTTGCCATGATTCGAACTCTAAACCTCCCGAATAATACGCGTCAAGTGTGCTTCCAGTTACACAAATATACGTTACAGTCATTTACATAATTTTTAGTAATTTATATCCTCATAAGTTTTTAAATAACATTTTCTGATTGGTGTAATTTCAAATTCATTTGATTTATGATATATCTAGTCGATATTTTAATAAATAGATGCACTATTATAGACTTTATAATATATGTTTCTAATGCCATATATTATGTATCTCTCTCGTAGTTTAGGAGAAAAATGTTATTTTATAAAAGCTTTGTTTACGCAAAAGTTTTTAAAATGAAAGTTTTCTTTAAGACATTCTCTAATTTCAATTTTCAATTATGTCTTAACTGTTTAACATTCCCTGTAGATCAGAATAAAATACTCAGTACTTATGTTTATTGAATTTTCAGCTTCATTTGACACTTTTTCTAATTAATGTCTGCATACTTTTCACAATGTTTTGCAAGTATATTATCCAGAATTCAAAATGCTCTTATAGCTGACACATACGTGATCCAACAGGTAATTTCAGAAAGTTCCCTACATAATGCGTCTACAAAGTTTTAGGACTACATTCGTAGAAATTTAAAGAAAAATTTTGAACCTTCAATACTCCGTCCTTCTAAGTCTGTATAATTTCATATAATCGCTTGCTTCCACAAAAGCTCATTCTTTAAAACAGCAAACTTACTAGGTGGCAGGGCTGCGCTTAGCAACACACTGTTCGGATTGTTGTCGCATTCGTTAAGGTGACACAATGGATGCTGATTGTGAGCAAAGAGTGAACATTACGTTCTGCGTTAAACTAGGGAAAACCCCTAGTGAAACGTGGAGCATGATTAAGCAAGCATATGCAGGCAAGTCACTTTCAAGAAATAGTGTGTTCGAGTGGCACAAAAGGTTTCGTGAAGGCAGAAATTCAGTGCAGGCGATCCCAGAGCTGGTCACCTGATATAGCACATACCGATGCAAACGTGGAGCGTGTAAGATGGTTATTGCAAGAAGACCGTCGTGTAACTGTGTGCATGATATCAGAAGAACTGAATTTGAATCGTGATGTGTGTCATAAGATTTTACGCCAAGATTTAGGGAAAAAGAATCTTAATGCAAGTATCATCCCTCACTCATTTGCAGATGAACAGAAAGAGGAAAGACGAAGAATTTCTGCTAGACCATTGGGTAAAGCCAAGACGTGATCCCACATTTGTGACAAGATTATAGTGATTTTTTCTTGTTTTCGTGAGTGGAAAGGTAACTGAAAGGAAAGCTTCATCAAGATTATTGCAGACAATCCAACGGGCTGTGAAAAATGAGCTTGCAAGCATCGAAGTTGAAGACTTCAGTGCTTGCTTACAAGACCTCCAGAAACGCTGGCAGTTGTGTATAGATAGCCAAGGGGGGCTACTTTGATAGCAGCTAGGATCGTTACTTGGTAAATGAAATTTTCTATTTTTTATGACCTTTGTCCTGGAATTTTTCTGATAAAGAATGTAATTATTGCTAAAGCTTTGCAGTTCATTGTGTGTAGAAGATTATAAGGAAAGGAAAACACCAACTTACAGGCTTCAATATTCCTCCAGCCACAATCTATCTTGAAATCCTTAACGATGCATCGTAATATTATGTGGTAGGTAGCGCCCAGACGGACATCTTCTAAAGAAAGTGTCCTGTCTGTTGTCATTGTACTAAGAAAGCTTTGCAAATCTTCTGGTTGGTTGTTCAATGACGAAAGTGGACTTCGTGATTCCACTGATTGGTAGAATACTAGGTAACCATTTGGTTTCAAGATACCGGTGCTAAGAACGCCTTCTTCCAGAGAAGTATCAGCAGTAGGTTCTTTCCAACTCACTTCTATCTGACCTTTGGATGTTGTCATGGCCTTTACATTAGTGACAGGCTGAATGTCTAAAATAAAAAGACCGACTTACAACAACAAAACATATAAATAGATGAATTTCTAATTTTTTTTTTATTTTCAGTCTATTCAACGATATATAGAATATTTTATATTTTAATAATGAAAATAAAAACGAATTAATAAAATAAGATAGTATCAGTAATTGGAATCTTCCAAACAGATAAGACTTGCGATGACTGCGCGGGAGTTTTAAAAATTGCTTAAGAGTTGCATCAACTATCTCATAATACCTGATAATATGCATTGACAGGTAATAGTATAAAATATTATATGTTCATTGATTAACTATTATGATTTAAACATTTACTATAATTTCTCCTTTCCATAGCTCTTCACTATGCAAATTTGCTTAAATGTATTTAAGTAAAGGGTTTGAATGGTTTAGATAGGTTTGATGCTCTTGGTTTTTTTAGCGACGCCTGTAGTTTAGTTCTATCACCCAGCTCTGCGAATGAATATTTAGGCTTCAACCATTTTGATAGCCGCCATCAATACATGCCATTAAAAGTTTGAGCCAGCTTAAGTAGGCTAATTTTTATAGTCTTCGACTATGATACCTTTAATTTGAAAGTTCAACTTTCTTATTTTAAATATCTGTAAGTGGTGGATTTTTCTGCACGCACAATTTGGGCTTTCTGTTCACTTCAAGATTTAATTAAAAGCTTATTTAAAGTCTTTCTTAGACATCCTCATATTTCATACGGTGCGATAATTCTTTGTCAGTATAATAGGGTGTAAAGGACGTTGATATCACTCAAATAGAACTCTATAATTGTACCTGTGTAATTTTCAGATCCTGAGAAATGAGTAATTCTTTTCTACACAATTGAAGATAAATTGTTGGATATTTTAACTTCCAGAGAGTTTGCATTAAATTGATGCTTACGAGATATTTGGGGGTTGCTTAATCACAGTTTACTGCATAGAAGCAATGTTGATTCTTTGATCTTTTGGTTATATACTAATTCTGGGATCATTATTAGTAGTAAGTGTTGTTGAAGGGTGTTCCATGAAGTACTTAATCAATCACTTTATCTTTCTTAATAATGTAATTATAAAGGAAGATAACAAAGAATTTCGAAGTACAAATCACCTACACTTAGCTTAAGAAACAATTATGTACTACCAAATAAATATGCATAACTCTGAATGTGGCAGTTTTGTGCCAAACTCTGGCAACCATGCACCCATACACTCTTCAGTCAACCAACACACATAGCAATCTTTCAGTCAAGTAACGTCGCCATTTTCATATGTGTTCCTTTTGTTGTACTCCTAGTTCCAATGGCTTTATAGACAAAATGTGGTATTTTTTGGCCTTTAACTCAATCTTAAAATATCGCTTGTGGAATTAATGGAAAGAAACTGCTATAAAAGGTTTGCAGGAATACCACATTTTGCAGAAAAATCATTTAAGGGAACAATGATAAGATGAGTTTAGTAGGCAGCCGGTATGCAATGCCCGAGTTTGTGAAATCCTCTGACTTTTTTAAGCGAACACAGATTGCTGTGTACATGGGGAAAATGAACGGCGCTAAAAATAGAGAAGAATTTTCCGAATATTTTTTAGTGCTTTCTTTTGATATGTTGATAATGGTTGTCAACTTGCGATAATTATCGATAGTTTGGAGATGTTTTTTAAAACATGAGTCATAAAAAAATGGAGAATTTGCACCCGGTAAGTAATTTTTACCTTTCCATCTGAAAAGATCGTCATATTGGCCAAGGTGGTTGCTTTAATGCCTAATTTTGCACCACAATGCGCCACATTTTTTACCACATAGGTCTTTTATCGTTTGTTCTATCTACTTCACTTTAAATTTTAATCATATAAATATATAGTCGAATAATTTTATTTAAATATATTGTTCAATATTATTCTGCAACGCTTCAAAACATGCGAAGTTTCGAAACGTTGTTCACTTACTTTATGCACACGAAAGTTTAAATAATTACCTGTACCACAGCCATAAAACTCAAATCTCAGGCAGATGTCTGTGGCACCAGAGATGAGCATGGTAACATTTATTTTCACATATTGAGTTAACTCTATGCTGCTGCTCACGTGATAGTTAATAACATCTCTTGTGGCGTTTTTATCAGCATTGTCGAAGAACTGTAAATAAAGCAATATTTCATTTATTAGTAATTTGCACCTATTGTTAATATAAATACCTTTCATGCTTTAATGATTTAATGCATTTCAGTAGAATAGAATTATTAATATTCACTTTGACATGTAAATATTAAACGTGATGCTTTTGTAATTTAAAGAATATTTGTAAATAAAATTATGCGTGAATTATGTGTTTTGCGAAATGTCCAGCGACTACGCGGTGAGATAGCTTCTCCGCAAAGTGGGATTATGGTTACCAGAAATTGGCAAGGTAAGGCAGGATTGCCAGATATGGCACAAATCACCCATTTGGAGATATTTGGCGACAAAATTGGCGACATGTCATAGAAGGAGCGAGAACATTCTAGAACACACTTTTAACGGTTTTCTCGAGAATATTCTCGAAGGCAGGTTACAGCTATATAGTAAATTGCGCAATTCCACTCTTTTTGCTTTCCAGAAATCTCGAGAAGCAGAAATTACTAAAAGTTTCTCGCGATAGATTGAAAGCTATAAAAAGCCAGAGAGAGAGCATCTCAGCTGTCCGATGTGATGTCATAGCCATGTCCAAGTGAAAAACTGGTCACGCCCCTTCACCATCTTTTATCTTGTCCCCCTCCTGAACTTAGTGTACTGCATTCATTCTACTTGAAGCGCACTTCTACGGCACACGAAGTTCCGACAGCCCGGAACACAGCATGAACTTTTCACGCTAATCTGGGCAAACAACAGAAGTTGGAGTTGATTCTCATCTCAGTTGCTTAATTACTGTTGTTGCGATTTGGGTTCCGAGCGAACTGAGATATCTGAATTAGCTTTCTCTTTTTCTTTGCATTGCGTTGTATTTTAACGTTATTAGTAGTTTGAAGTATAACTACTGATCACATTGCGCGATAGTGTGAACACTTGTGCAAATATCTCTGAGAAAAATTCCAGCGTTCTGTTATATTTCTTTTGATAAGAATAAATTTATCAACCCTTTTATCGGACTTGTGCTTTTAATCTGTTGCGAACTCGTACGCACGCGACAATAGATATAGTAGCAATCAATAACAAAATTTAACTTATGCAAACGCACAATTTCGGACTGCATAAACGTATTATCATAAAACTTAGTGCTATCTATTGAACATAACTTCCTTGTAGGGCCTATTTAATTATACACATTTTTTGTTCCCACTTCCTCTAAACTTAGTTCCTCAAATTTCATTAGAAGATTACTTCTCATTTAATCAATTCCGTTCGCGGAAAGCCAAAATACATAAAAACTCAAAACGTTTTCATTAAAAATTGTAAAATACAGAAAAACCTAAAACAAAGTTAAAAAAATGTTTTCAATTAATGTGGTCCCACTAGGCAGAAAGACACTGAAGTTAGTACACCAACTGACTTCATTTATTGTACTACTAAGAGTTTCAAATGCAAATAAATATTCGCCCCTTTAGGCTTAGCGCGACTTACACTTTTAAACTGTTGATAATTCTACAACTAATGCATGCAGATAAACTAAAGGCATGAAAACTTTAACCAACACATAAGAACAACATAAATGAACCGCGTTTAAAACAAAAATGGCATAATTTATCAACATATAAGAATAATAAACAGATCTTCCCAAGCTAGGCAAGGGGGTAGGTGCATATAGTATGCATACATAAACTGTGTATATATAAACGTTTGGTGCATCCGATTGCAACGAAAAAGAGAGGTGCACAACTACATATCATAGCAATTCCAAACGAAATTTCAGCGCTCTAAGTCTACTTATTCTTCAGTTGAGGGAGATAAATATATGCCTACGTACGTACATACAGTCGTCTAAAAAAATCTCTTCTGAATCCATTTTCGAAGAAAAAGTTCTTTATTCTGTCCGTACTTACAAATATCACTCAAAAAAATCATTAAAATAGATTCGAGAGAGGTCAAATTCATGTTTTTGTTGAAATATTATACCCGAATTTTTCGAGATTACAATACTTTCTTTACTTCGCACAAGGAAGTAAAAAAAATGAAACCTGAATTCATAACGGGAGCTGAAAACAATTACTGCTGGAAAATGCGAAGTGGAATTAGAAATATTAACTATGATTGAAGGATTTTATAGAATCTAAAATACTGAAAGGAAGTATAATTTACATTTTGAAGAAATTTTTGAATAATTTGCAGGAAATAATATAAAAGAGAAGAGGAAAACCCAATCACAATTTGGTGATGAAAAATTCACTAATTCAACTTTCAAGGGAAATTGCAAAGTACTTTTAAAATGCTAAGTATATATTAAATCACATTGTCAAAGAAATCAACTGGAAAGAGTTTCATCAGTTTCGAGACATGGTAAAATAATTTAAGTATTTATATATTGTTAGGATTAGTATTGCGGAACTTTAATGCGAAATGCATTTGAAAATTAAGCATTTGGGTTACATACTAGATTGCCAGCGTTGAATTCACTCCATTGTTCTCCATTTAGGCTGTAAGAGGCAGAGAAACCAATCACGTGGTTATAATTCTTCGGTCTGAGTCCTTCTGGAGGACCTTGGGATGCGAATCCAGTCACGAATGTTTGTCGACCTAAGTTCACTGTAAGGATGGCGGTTTGGGATGAAATGGATTCGTTGTTGAAGCACCATGCACCTTCAGCATTTCGCAATCTTCCAGCAGAGGGTGTTGAATCTTCCGTGACCTCAGATGTGAACATGGAATCTTCTATCTCTCCAGACGAAAGGCCGAGTTCGGAGTTGCATGTACCTGAAGAATGGAATATATAAATCTAGAAAATTATCTCGGTACATACTTTGATATATAAATATGTGCATAAATCTCATGAATAATGGTTCGAGGACACTATGATCACTGCAAACAGCACATTGTTATACTTGTAAAAGTAGCCTCACATCAATACAATGAAGTATTCAGTTTAGAACTGCATGCCCATTAATAAGAAGCATTCTAAAATTGATTAGCTGAGTTGCGTGGTACCAGAATGATATTATAGCGGAAAATTTTAATTCCATTTTAAGTTCTCAATAACAAGTATTGAGCATCCTAATCTTTTTCCTTTTCTTTAATTCAAAAGTTTTCTTTTGGTGCTAGCAGCATTACCGTAATACTGCCTTCTCGATCAGAACTGGAAACTGACTCAATTTAAATTCGTTACATGTAGATATAAATGCAAATAAACAATTATAAATTATATTATGTGACAGCCGATGGACAATAGCGAAGAAATGGTACAGTATGGGTGATTGTTAAACAAATCCTGAAATTTCAAAGTATAGAATAACAATGTTAAGTGCCACCTAGATGAGCAAATGGATAGCGTCTCACTGACGTACCGAAGGAACCGGGTTCGAATCCCGAATACAGCAGGGACGTAATTTTGTTCATCCCTTCATAGAAAGCAACGGTGACCCACCTTAGTGTTAGGTGCGTCCATAGCGAAAAGACCACTGCCTTCGGCCTTAGTAGAGGCCAACGCCTATAACGGACTAGACCCCGCCAATGAGAAAACAAGTATTTAGCTGCCCAAGATGGGAAAGTGGGTAGTGACTCTGATTGCTGTACCGGCCCAGGTTCGAATCCCGGAGAAGGCATGGATGTAAATTGTGTTTTCCATCACAGGAGGCATCGGGGCCCACCTATTAGGTGCCTCCATAATAAAGCGACAACTGCATCCAGCCTTAGTAGTGGCCAACGTCTATAAATGACTAGACCCAGGAAATGGAAAAAAAATTTAGCTTCCCAGACGGGAGAGCCGATAGTGATTCTGACTGCTGTACCGAAGGGCCCAAATTCGAATATAGGAGAAGGCATGGATGTAAATAGTGTGTCTCTTCATAGGAGGCATTGGTGGCCCACCTATTAGGTGCCTTCCTAATAAAGTGACTACTGCTTCCGGTCTTAGTAGTTGCCAACGCCTATAACGGCTAGTGCCCGCCATGGGAAGTAAAAAAAAGAGGGTAAGTAAACCGAGAACAACAGCATGAGAAATATTGATTATTATAAACAAGCAGAGCAAGGAGTGCGTGTCACAACCCATATTTTTATACGATCCTTATAACAAAATTTCTGACGTGTAATCTTGTAGAGACATAAGGTATTTTTTGAAGCAGGAGACATGAAAAATGAGCAATGCTCTCGCCGAGACTCGAACCACGGACCTCTCGAATACGCCTCGAGCGTGCTGACCCCTACACACGAAGGCATGCTAGGAAGGCGGAAGGAAATGCCTTATATACTCCTCCTTTTAAGGGGCGACTGGGGATTAGAGAACCCAGTCGCCAAATCTGGTGGCGGAAAATCAGCATCCACCACCCTTTTTTTTTTTTTTTTTTTTTTTTTTCAGACGCCACTGTAGATACATTAGATATTTTTTATATTTATTATTTATTTTATTAGTTGATAAACTCGCCAGACTCGAACACAACCTCGCCAAGACTCGAACCACGAACCGTCGCCAAGACTCGAACCACGAACCTCTCGAATACGCGCCGAGCATGCTGACCACTTCATCACGAAGACATGCTAAGAAGACCGGAGAAATACAGTGGTGGCCAAAATTGTGGACACTTTTTGAAATTTTTATGTTTTTGAACTTTATATGCTTATAGAAAACGTTACATTTCACAAAATGCAAACTTGTATATATCACTTTAAAGAGAATTTATTACTGAATTCAATACAAAACACAAAATTCAATTATTTGCAATACAAAAAAAATTAAACGATAATAGTTATCTATATACATTAGATAGTGATGAATGCAGTGAGTTATCAGTACTTAGTAGTGTACCCTTCATTTTTTATTACGGCTTCACATCGACGTTTCATTGAGCTGACAAGAGTTTTAAGCTCTTCTTTCGTTATTACATGATGCCAGGAAACAATTATAGCCTCAATTAGTTCCCTTTTATTTGATGATCGCCTCATTCGGACAAGAGTTTTCAAACAGTGCCACAAATTTTCGATAGGATTGAGGTCAGGACTGTTTCCTGGCCATGACAACAATTTAATGCTCTTTGTACGAAACCACTCTTTCGATATTTTGGCCGTGTGGCAAGGAGCAGAACCCTGCTGAAAAATAAACGAAGCATTTTTGGGAAAGAGATCTCTGATGGAAGGTAGAAGTTTTCGTTCTAGAATAGTGTCAATGTATTTTCTGGCATTAAGTGCCCCATCGATGACACGAAGGCGACCAATACCATCTGCTGACATGCATGAACAAATCATAACACTAACTGGGTTCTTCACAGTTGCTTGAATGCAGTCAGGATGTAGCTCTTCTCCTATTCTACGTCTTACATATTTTCGCCCATCACTACCGAAAACGATATCTTAGTTTCATCACTCCATATAACTTGTGACCACTGATCATCTGTCCAATTAATGTGTTCCTTTGCCCAATGTAGTCTTTTTTTTCGTTGCTGAAAATTAAGATAAGTCTTTTTTCGTGGAATTCTACCTCTCAATCCAACATCTATTAATCTTCTCCTGATTTTTCTTGAACTGACAGAAACACCAGCATCATTCAGATCACTTCTGATGGCCGTTGATGACATTTTTCTATCTTGGAGACATAGTCGTTTTATTCTTCTGTCATCAATAGATGTGGTGCACCTTTTTCGGCCTTTTCCTTCTTTGTTTTTTATTGAATTTGTCTCCTGATATCGTGAACAAAACTTTCGGACTACAGATGTAGTCACTGAACCACCCACCTGTCTTGCAATTTCAGCATAGGAAAGACCACTTTCTCGTAACACAATAATATTACATCTCTTTCTAGGTGTCCAATCTACTCTTTTATTTGATGTCATTGCTTCTTGACTAAATATTAAAAATTTTACAAAAATTCCTACTTGTAATTGCAGTGTATAAGAAACAGGTCCTCTTTCTACAGAACAAAGCAAAATAATGAATTGTTTCAAGTGTAAACATGATGTCAGCTTCTACTGGCAGTTACTAACATTTGATTGGTTCTCAGAACAAGAACAGTGATTGGCCAGGAAAGCTAGACATTACAAACCACTTCATAACTGTGTTTTTTTTTATTTATATTAAAGTACATATAACTTTTTTTGTATTGCAAATAATTGAATTTTCTGTTTTGTATTGAATTCATTAATAAATTCTCTTTAAAATGCTATATACAAGTTTGCATTTTGCCAAACGTAACACTTTCTATAAGCATACAAAATTAAAAAACATAAAAATTTCCAAAAGTGTCCACAATTTTGGCCACCACTGTACCTTATAATCTGACAATTTTTTCTGGATCAATTTCGTCTATTATATGAAAGTCTTTTTGTTTTGTTTTGTTTCCCTCCGCCTTAGAATGATCTTTGTTAGAATAAGGAAGGAATTATTAATTCGAATTTCTTTTGCAGAAGATCCATATAAAATTTAATATATTTCATGTATTTTCGGTGATATGCAGTAGGCGACCAAAAAATAACTGCCTGAAAACCTACCTCATTTGATACTCGACTATTATTCGTCTATGATAAGTCATTCAGGAGATATTTAGTCGTGAATTCTTTTCGAAATATCCTGCATAATTCATACGGATGCTGTTCAATATCATAAATATTTAATTCTTATTGTGATATAAAGTGTTGTTAAATGTTTCTAAATCTGTCACATGGTGTTCCATAATATGATATCATTCGCTGAAATGTTTTTGTCCCGTGCATCCTGGAAACATTAAGTTTATCATTGCGTGCGAAAGAGTCCACTTATTGACATTAATATCGTTGCCTGTTCCATTTTTTTTAATCAGAACTTTGGCAGTTTTTGACAATCGCTTTTCGGTTTTTTTATTTATTTATTTTTTTATTTTTTCTTTGACACAATTTGCAGACTATTAACAACAAGTAGGTGCACATAATTGGAAAACTATTGATCCAGATAATGCTATAACAAAGATTTTTACGCAAACTTCCTTTTTAAAGGGCAAATCGATGTAATGTTTTTTTCAAAAACGAACAAAATATGTGTGCATCATTGGAAAACTGTCAGTCTATATAATTCATATGTGTCACTTCGAAGCACATTTCTCTTTCTCTCTGTCTCTCTTTTTCTCTATTAGGGGAAAATGTTTCTGAAAAATGGGAAAACTACTCATATTTAACAATGTTGTTTATAAACATCGTTCTCAAATCTTTTATATCAGAAGTTCAGATTGAAAATTTCTCAAACAAAAAGAAAGATTTAAGTAAGGTCTTCTGCTGTTAACAAAATGATTTTCACAGTCCTTTAAGAATAATGTTATTGTAGCTTAATTTGGTTTACATTCAATGGATGTAAAGAAACTTTTCTTTAATGGTTGGTTCTAGCCGTTTATAGGCATTGTCCGCAACTAAGGCCGGAAGCAGTGGTTCCTTTATTATGGAAGCATTTAAGGTGGTCCACCGTTCCCTCCTGTGAAAAGACAGCCACGCTTTCTCCGGGTATCAAATCTGGGTCCATTGGTACGTCACTAATCATTTTTTCGTCCGGGCGGCTTTGTAACGAAACTTATCCCTTTCATTCGAAATCAAATTTCTATAAATTTTCCTTTCAAGTTGTAGGGTTTATATTTATTTTAACTAACATTTATTTTAAGTTTAAACTATCTTTCCTGTCAAGCCTTACTTTCCCCTGGAATTGCCAATGCCAGAGTATGTAAATTTTAGTAGAACGCGCAAGGATTCAAATTATCAGCGGAAGTAATTATGAGTTAAATAGAAAGGAAACGAGTTCGAAAGGT